GGAGCACCGCACGCTGGCGCTGCGGCTCAAGAAGGCCCGCGGCTCAGCCAGCAGCCCAGGAGCTGGGGCCTCTGATGAACCCAGGCCTGGTAGGCGGGCGGGGGGCGGTGGGGGAGGCAGCGCGGGTGGCTCCGCGGCCCCGAAGAAGCAGGTGTGATAGACAGCGTCGTCGGCGTCGCTTCCGGCTGGCCGCACACCCCCACGAGGACCCCTAGGTGCCGCCAGCAGGGGCCCGAAGGGCAGCGAGCCGGGGAGCAGGCCGGCACCGTAGAGGCAGGAACGCACGGACTCCAGAGTGTCATAGATGCTCGGATCCTTCACCACGATGCCTGGCAGGGCGGAGGACACAGGGAGAAGGCTCAGGCCTTTGGCCAGATGTGTCCTCTGCAGAGGATCAGGAGATCTGGGTGAGAGTTCCTTCCTAGTGACCATCTGGGTGACCCTGGGTGAGTCCCAACCTCTGAACCCCAGATCGCTCCTCTACAGCAAGAATTATAAACTGAAATCCTTATGCAGACCACTGAGACACACAAGGGTCAGGGAAGGGATTTGATAAAAAAAACTTTGAGCCTTGGTGTTCCCACTTGTTAAAATGGAGCTGGTAATATCTACCATTTACCTTCAGACGGCTATTGTGAGAAAAAACTAAAAATGTGTGTGCATAAGCCCAGGGTTCTCCAAGTGTTGTTGTTAATTGCCATCTGACCCATAGTAACTCCATGAATGCAGAATAGGTTTTCAAGGCTGTAACCTTTCAGAGGCAGGTCACCAGCCCCATCTTCAGAGGAGCTGCTGGGTGTGTTTGAACCATCAACTTTTTGGTTAGTAGTCAAGCACTTAATTGTTTGTGCCACCCATGCGCACAGTAGCTCATAAACCATTTTTCCCTTTGGGGGAGAAGTAACCCGCTAGATAGATCTGAGGAGGAAGCATGGGTAGGGGTGTCTGTAAACTAGCAAGTGGCCCTTCACTTCCCAGCCTACTTACTCACCATGCACCAGCCGCTGCTCCTGCACCATTAGACATCTGTATTCTCCCCACTTCTCATATAGGGTTTGCTGCAAGAGACACCCCCACCCAGTTGTCAGGAGCTAGCAAGAAATTGGCAGCAGATGGGCATAGACTGAGGGACCAGGGAAGAAACAGAAGAAAAGAAACTTTGACATTAAAAGGAGGCTTGATAGATAAATGAGCCTCCTCTCATTAAAAAAAAAAAAAAAAAAACCAGGGCCTGCAAGGGCAAGAATGTGGGAAGAGAGGAGTGGAGGCTGGGCATTACCGTTACAGGGGCCCCCTTACTTTCAGGTACTGCAGTCGGGCCTCCAGCTCAGCCTTCCGAATTGACGTCCCGTACAGAGTTTCCAGTCTGAGAAGGGGGAATCAGAGGCTGAGCCGGCAGGCAGAGTGAGGAAACAGCCAGAGGCCGAGTCCAGGAATCCTTAGAGACCATACCTGAGAACGTTGCCCGATGCCTTAATGATGTCAACAATCTCTCGATGCCGGATGCCTTCCACATTCAGGCCATTGACACTGGCGATGGTGTCCCCTGCCAGGCAGAGAGGGGTTCAGCATCTGCTCCATGGGACACAACAGAAGACTTCCAGCCCTCCCTACTTTAGCCATAAAGGATAGGGATAATAATGCTGCAGAATACTCCAAAACTCCCTCCCCACTCCTCACAGTTCTGAGGAGACCCCTTCTAGTATCTCTTTCCACCCCATTCAAAGCACCCACTCACAAAACCACAGCCATCCTCCACCGTGCAGAGCCTGGGTGACTGCCAGCTTGTCCTAGCACCCCCAGTCTAGAGGCTGGGGACTTCAGTGGGGCTGGTCTCTTATATGCCCATATGATCACCCAACTCTCCGGAAGCTTTGAGTTAATTCTTATTGTCCAGTCCACAGCCTGTTGTTAAGCTAGAGACAGGGGAGGGTTCAGTAGTGCCAAGTTGGGAACTAACTCTGGCCCCAGGCATAGTAGGCCTGGCTTCTGATATCCTATGTCACTGTAGAGGCTCCTGACCTTGGGCAGGGTATGCCACCATCTCTATAAGGTCATTTCTCCTATAAAAAGGAGATGTGGGTCCAAAACTATTTACAAAATTGCAGTACATCACTTGACTAGGACTTCTAGTAAGCAGGCAAGGAGGTGAGGGGTTAGGGGAAGAAAATGGTGATGGAATTGGAGTGGAGGTGCTTTGATTCATAAAATCTCATGGTTTCCCTTTCAGTGACCCAGGGACTACAGATTTGGCCAATCCCAGAGATAGTGCTTCCTTGTTAGAATAAATAATACAGGTGCCCCAGAGTTGGGCAGATTAGGGTAAGTGTAGGCCCTGATCTCAAAGGTCAAGAAGATCTAATGGAATTTTGGTCCTTCCCCAACTCTGCCCATACTGGATTTCCCACAGTAATACCAGCAGCAGCTGCCATTTACTAGGTACCATCTCTGTGCCCATGGAACCCTGGGATGGGAGGACTTAATACTGTTTCCATAGACAATGGCAAATTTGCCTGAATCCAAAGCCTAGATTCTATCCACTTTCCTTTCTAGCTCCCTCAAACTAGGAAGAAGAAGGGAAATTGATTTCAGCAGGGATTTGTCACCCCCCCGTTTGAGAACTAGCTTATATTCTTTTCCCAGAGCCCTGCGTGCTGAGCCTCACCAGGTGTGAGCCCAGCCAGCTGGGCAGGGCTGGATTCGTGAACTCGGCAGACAAAGGTCACCATCTCCACACGCTGCTCCTCCCGGTGATGAAGGCCATAGGTCTGTAACAGGGAAGGGGATGCTCAGCCCAGCAGCAGAATAGGGTTTATCCATACCACAGGCTGGCTTCCCCCACCCGCTCAGTACTCAGCTTCTCCCACCTGGATCTCAAAGCCGAAGGTCTCATTATCCTCCTTCTCCAAGGTCAGCACTTTCCTGCAAGAGACATAGGGGACAGAGGACATCACATCAAGACTGTCAGGATGAAAAAGAGCTTGCCAGTTCCATAGCGTGACTCTCCACTAATGCTGGAGTCTGGTCTAGAACATCCAGGCATGGCTCACCATCTCCAGTGACAACTCCCTCTCCATCACAGATGGTTGGAAACTCCTTCCCCAGATCCAACCTCATCCAGCGGCACAGAAGCAATCCAACCTCCGGTGAGCAGAACCATTGGAGGTGGCTGGGTCCACACTCCAGTGAAAGACTTCTAGTGAACCCGACGAATCCTTATACTGACTAGCCAAGGCCCCAAATTCAGACCCTACCCTGGAGCCTCCTCTGCTTCACAACTTTGGGGAAGGGCTGGCCCCACCCCTAAAGGCCAGTCACGAGGCTCAGCCCAGACCACAGCTGCTCCTCCCAGCTGTGGTGGGGCCAGCCCACCAGATGAGAGAGCTGGGGGAGGGGAGCCTAGAGGCCGCCCCTTCCCGCACTGAAGGCCTGCCCACTGGACACAATGGTCTGGAGCTGCTCCAGACCCTCGCCTGCTGGGGGAGCCCAGAGTTTCCTCTGCCCATCCCCACCCCCTTCCTTCCCGCTCAGCCAGAGGCAGAGTTAAAGCAGCTGCCAGAGGCCCCCGCAAGTCTCCCAGCCTCAGAAATGACCCAGGCCCTCAGCTCCCAGCCTGACCCAGATGTCCCCCCTCAAATGCTAAGTAGCAACTCCCAGCTCCACCCTGAGCCCTTTCCAAACTGAGCCCATCCCTGCTGTTGAAGGGCAGGCCTTCCCCCCTTGTAGGTGTTAGAGGGGGATGAGTGACAGCAAGCCCTGGGTCTACCCCAGTTCCCTCTGTTTTTCTGGAGGGGTCTGTAAATTTTATCTGTAAAGGGCCAACAGTAAATATTATAGGATTTGAGGGCCAAAATACCACTCACACACTGTTCTTTATTTTTGTTTTTACCACCCTTTGAAGTGTAAAAACCATTTTAGCTCAAGGGCCAAACAAACCAATCTGGCTGTAGTTTGCTGATCTGTGTTAGAAGAAGGCAGACCCAGATCAGGGCTGGAATGGGCAGAGGAGGGAAACTGGTCTCGGGTCCTGAGGTCAGCACCTCACTTCTGCCCATACCTCAGTCCCTTCCTCCTAAGAGGGTTCCCACAGGATATCAGCACAGGACTGAGACACTGGAGGTAGTGGCAGGCAGGACAGGCAGCTGGACACAGCTTGGCTGTTACCAGGGCTCACAGGGTTTGCTGGGGCTGGGAGAATTCAGGGCAACCCAAGAGGTGCAAAGCCCTCTCTCACTCCTACCACCTCCCATTGATCCTGAGTCCCCAGGAAGGGGTAACTGGCAGGGACCAGGGGTGGGGTGAGGAGCACCTGATGACTCAAAAGTCCCCACCTCCTTTCACTGCCACCCCCTTTACACAGCCCACACCCCCACCTGCCCCTCACTCCCAGTAGGGGAGCCCTGCTTAAAGGCTAGAGAATGACTCCCCCAGCTGTCATGCTCTCTGCTCCCCCACTCTCCCCACCCCCAGCACCTCACCCATGAGGACCAGGGCAGGGGGTGGGGGTGGTGACTCACCGCTGCTGTTCAGGACTCTGGCTGAGATTCTTCCATCGGAATCCTGATCCCTGGGTGGGAAGTGGGAAGAAGGAGCAGGTGAGAGGGTGGCTATCTTTAAGCAGATGCTGAGATCCCTACTCTGAGAAGTCCCTGGACCTAGCACTTCAGTTTCTGTTGCCTGTCTCTTAAGTCCCAGCACCACACTACATGGAAGGAGCAATTCCAATTCCGACTCAGAGCGACCCCT